GCGAGCAGACAGGGAAGTCTCTGCACAGAATCAGAAGCCGTAAAGACCTAAGTGGGAACCCAGAACCGCAAACACACAGACAAACGGAAGTGTAGGCACTGGCTTCGCGGCTGGACAGGGGCGGCAGGGAGCCCACGCGCTCAGAACGGGGGAACAGGGTCACGGAACACGAACGCGGGCTCAGAGACCCACCGGGCACAGCGGAACGTCCCACAGAGGTACCGTGGGATTCCCAATAGAAGAAGGCTGGAACACAGGCAGTTTTGAAGAAATAAAGGCCACGGTGTTCCAAATTAAAAGAAAAACACTGACCGACAGTCCCAAGAAGCTCAGAGCAGCCCAAGCAGACTGAACACCACGAGACAAGTCTGGACACAACACAGACCAACGTCAGAAAAGCGAGACGACCATCTCAACACAGCCAGAGAAGTGGCACACAGGACGGGAAAGAGGGTGAAGCCAGCGGGGCCTGAGCACAGTGGGACGGCGTCTCCAAGGACAGAGGTGGTCGCACATTTACGGTCGTTCCGGGTTTAAGAAAAAGAGTTTTGCAATCTTGCAAAATTCACTGGGCAACCTCCCACGGTTGTTGTGACCTGGGACGAGATAACACAGCTGAATCAGAGCAGGCTTTCCTGGGAAACGAGAAGGAGACCTGCAGGAACACAGAGGATCCAAGGAACAGAGGAAAACACAGAGAACGGCTGCAAGTCTTGGAATCAACTATCCCTTGTCAGTCTGCTGTTGTACAAGATTAAATGATACGTATCTGGATTTGCAAGAGACAGTGAATCTTAAATTTAAAATAGGAAGAAAAGTCAATGTTGAGGGAAATTTTCATCCAAAACTGAGGGTGAAACACAACCATTTTCGAGCAAACAAAAGCTGGCTGTCGCCAGCAGACCGCGCTGCAAGCAACGCTCACCGCTGCTCTTGAAGCCGAGGGCAAGCCGATGATGGGAACCTGGACTCGGGGAGGAATGGAGGATCCGAAACAGCGAGCCAGTCCATGGAAACACGATGCCTTCTTTCCTGCTGTCATTTACTTACAAGATAACTGACAGCTTAATGCAATAATAACGATACTTTAAAGTTGGGTTTGTAAATATATATACAGGTGTGACGGGAAACAAACAAGAAACTAACAAAACTTGGACAAACAGAAAAAGGTAACGAGTTTCCTTCCTCCTCGGAATCACTTTTTCTCTTGCAGGCTGGTCTCACTCCCGCTGCTCAGGAAGGACAGTTACCCCATGAGGGTCACCCTCCTGAACGCTTTCACGTTCATGTCTTTTCAAAGCCAGCCTAAATCCCATCACATCAAACTACACGACCAAACGTCCTCACGCAAAGAACTTCCAGCTCGCGTGAGATCCACGAACAAGCTGATCTGAACACAAAGCCTCGAATGTAAAGCAGACACTCCCCAGGAGGTGAGACCCGTGTGAATGGTGAGGAAGCCCACCCGGCGGGCCGGGCCCCTGCAGTGAGCGCGCTGCCCAGGCCCCTCCAGCCCCG